AGAGGTAGACTGATGTGATTTGACACTTGTTATTTTCAGAAAGTCATTGATGGCCCCTCTATTCCCAGAAAACCTTTTAAGAGGCTCCAGGTTAAGATCTTTTTCTTCCTGGTATTTCCTCATTTTTCAGTCTTCTTGGTTTTCAGCCCTCCTTTCCCACCTACCATTCCTCTTCAAATTGGCCCACCAGATAGAGTAGGCTTTTGTTACCACTCCATTTTGTAACGTAAATATTCTTAAATAAAACCAAGTCCTTGTTGTACACCTGCATTCCTCGAAAGCTATTTCAGTAGCTTATTCTGGAAAATGACCAGTGAAGGTGCCTGGTATCTGTTTTCAGTTCTTAAAAAAATAATAAGTTTTAAAGCCCAGATTATTTAGAAGAGTTAAGCCTGGATCTGTGAGGAAAAACTTAAGTTCCCATGCATGCTTGCTATTACTAGGACTTCATTTGACTTGATTATTAATTTTGCAGCCCCTCCATTTATTAGTCAATTGTGTTTACTTATTGACCTTTAATCACGTAGGTTTAAGTTGTTCTTATAGCCCGAACATAAAAGATACCATTATTTTGACAGTGACTGTTCACCTTTCCCACACACTTTGTGGTTTTTCGAGCTGCCAATTGTATGGAAGATGGCAGTGTAACTTCTTTGATGTTTTTGTTAGAGATTTCTAAAAATTCTGTCGGTATTCTGCTAGACACATCTTTGATAAGGACCATCATGCCTATTGCTAGTGGCAGAGCTCTTTGTTCTCTGCTGTTGATGGTGGTAAGTTAATATTAGAAAAGAACCTTTCAGTCTGAAAGTTCCTGAAGCCAGAAACGACACAACTCAGTTCAAAGATTGACACAGTTTTAAGATAGAGGGCAGCCCTCTACTATTGCTCTGTATAGATAGAAAGAACATGACAAATTTACTTTACAAATGAGTTTTTAAAAACAGGACAGCTGCATATTTTCAGTGTCTTGTGATGTACTCATTAAATGTATTCTATAGTCTAACCTTTGCTGAATTACTTTCACAAACATTTGTTTGGTGAATTACATCTGTTCCCTGGATGGCTGTGCGCTTGGCAAGCATCTACTGTGCTCTAGGCGTTGGTGAACTGATTTCACAAAGCCCAGTAAACATGCTGCTGGTGGTAGTCTAGGATATAGGCTAAGTTGAATGACTGCTTTTATATTAGTGCCCCACCCCTTCTCCAATTTTTGTTGCAGATTTGAGGGAAAGGTTTAGAGTGTCTGTAGGTGAGAAATTGATTGCATTTATTTCTCAAGGTCTCTTACTATTTATGAGAAATCTTTCTTTCATGGTTGCTAACTATAAGCCTGTGATGTATATCCGAGATCCTGTCCTCACATGGGTTTAATCTGCTGTGAATACTTTAAATGGAATTTTTATTCTCCCGTATATCTGCTTGAATTTGCTTTATGGGTTTCATGTCTTTCCTGTGCCGAGCACTCATGGCCTCCATAATTTTCTTTCTTTTTTTTTTTTTTTTTTAAACTTTTTATCGGTACCAGGGATCGAACTCATGACCTCCTGCTTGCAAGGCAGGTACTTATGCCACTGAGTTAAATCCCCAGCCCCCCTCCAAAATTTTCTTAAGCTTATCTGTTTGGTTTTTTATGTTTATTTTTTATTTTCTTGTATCTGCTCTAGCATTGCTAAGCATGATTATTATTTTGAACATCATCTCTGCAGTTATCTGAGATTATTTTTTATTTCATCTTTTCCAGATCCTTATTCAATTGCTTTGTTGTTTTCACTTCATAGAGACCTGGTAGGAGGCTTTTGGATTATCCCACCTCAGTGTCCCCTGGGTTTGCCTTTGGTGAGCCAGATGTCTGGGGTTGCATCTTGTTTAAGTGCCTTTTCATTTTTTATTTTTTATTTTAATTCCTGGAGTGATGCTTGTAAGTTGGCTGTGGTGGTTTGCATTATTGGTAGTATTTAGGACCGTTGGGTTATGATTATTTCTCTGAGGTATCTTCTAGGCATAGCTAGATCTGAGTCTGTTGTAAGATCTTATCTCTTCTATGTGTTGGCGATGAGAAGTTGTTGCTCATTTGGCCTAGTCCTTGGTTCTGTGGCACTGTGCCACAGTATTTCCTGTGACCCTTAGTTAACCTCAGTCATGGATTATCAGGGCCAACATCTGTTTAGAACAGTTTTGGCTGTAGTGGCACCAGTAGCATCAGATACAGCCTATAAACGGAACAAACTGAGCTAATCCTTAATTTGCAACTTTTAACTGTATGAACTAAACTTGTGATTACATAACAAAATATAAAATAAACCAGATAATTATATGCACTCTATTAGTGTGTCCATTTTGTCCTTTTGGTTAAAATTTAAAATGGATTAAGGAGAAAATAGAGAAGTGGAAGGAAAGAAAGAGATTACAAGTAAAATTGGAGGACAAAGGTGGATCCCGCCAATTTGGAGAAACTGGTACAAAAGAAGAGAGATGGAAGAGATAAAAGGAAGAGCAGAACAGAACCACACCCACAAAGAGATTGGCACCACCGTCACACTCCTAAAGCAATGAAAGAAAGAAAACCAAACAAACGAACAAAAAACAGAAAAAGACCCAGGATTGTCTCTGGGTTCACTAGTGGAGGGCACGTGGAGACAGAGGCTTGAATCCTGCCACTCCGTCCCAGCAAGCCAGCAGTTCCTTTAGGGCAGAATAGTGGATAATCTCAGCAGGCCTGCCCTGATACCAGACTCACTCGGCTTGCCGCAGTCCAAGCAGTTTCTACATGTCTGCCCCGGCTAGGAGCTGCTAGAGAAAGCCGGCAGCAGGCAGCAGTTCCGGTTCTGGGCTTGCTTGGCCCACCTCCAAGTGGCTCCTGCTGATCGCTGCCTCCCTGTGGGTGGACTGAGTCCTCTGCACTCACTGCCAGCCATGTCCGCTGCTCCCTTCCACTGTTGCTGTGACCATGAGTCCCCAGCTTTGAACAGCTACTCTTGCACAGTGAGTCCAGCTCAGGGAGAAGGTGCTGCCAGCTACCGCTTTCTTCATTAAATTTTTCTTTTTACTCTCTCTGTGGACCTCAATTCATATTTCCAATTCTTGCTGGGTCTAGAGGACCTACTTCCTTCTTGTCTTCCTCATGGTGCTGTATTCCAGTGTCTGGACGGTGACCCCCAAGAGAGCCTATATTCTCTGCTGTGTATCACTCCACCAATTTCCCAGAGGTTGCCCTCTGCAGTTATCTGAGAGGTTATTTCTGGTTTGATTTTTTTCTGGAGCCTCATTCAATTGCTTTGTTGTTTCTACTTCAGAGAGGCCTGGTGGGAGGCATTTGGATTGTCCCAACTGGATGGCTTAGGTTGCATCTTAAGTGTCTTCTCATTTTCTTTCTTTCTTTCTTTTTTTTTTTTGGTCTTTTTCATTTTTATCGGTACCAGGGATCGAACTTACGACTGCCTGCTTGCAAGGCAGGCGCTTATGCCGCTGAGCTAAATCCCCAGCCCCTTTCTTTCTTTCTTTTTTTAAAAAAAATTTAAATCCAGGGGTGATGCTTGTAGATTGCCTGTGGTGGATTGCTTTATTGCTAGTAGTTAGGACCCTTAAGTAATGACTGATTTTCTGAGGTATCTTCCAGATGTAGCTGGTTTTTGAATTTTTAATCTGTTGAAAGATCATACTTCTTCAATTTGTTGGAGATGAGAGGTTGCTGCTTGTTTGGCCCAATCCCTGGTTCTTTGGCTCTGTGTCACAGTGTTTTCTGTGACCCTTAGTCTCAGTCATGAAATACCAAGACCAATAGTTGTTTAGAACAGTTATGCCAATTTTGGCTGTAGTGGTACACCCATATCATCAAATACAGCCTAGAAAATTACAAACTGAGCTAGCCATTAACTTGCCACTTTTATATATGAACTAGATTTGTGGTTATATAACAAAATCTAAAACCATCAGAAAACTATATGCAAGTATACAAGTTCTTAAATGTGTCAATTTTACCCTCAGGGGTTAATATTTACAATAAGGTAAGGAGAAGATAAAGAAGTGGAATAAGAGAAAGAGATTAGAGGTTGGAGGATAGAGGGAGATTGCGCTAACTTTTGGGAAACTGGTGGTGAACAGGATTGTCTCTGGTTTCAGTGGTAGACAACTATGGACACAAGAGCCCCAAAACATGTGGATCTGTCCGAGCAAGCCAGCAGTAGCTTTTTGGTGGAGTAGTGGATAATCTCAGCAAGACTGCACTTAGCGGCTGGGACTAGACTTGTTGGGTTTGCCACTGTTTGAGCAACTTCCATGTCTCTGAGCCCAGCAGGGAGCCACTCAGCAAAGCTGGCAGCAGTTCTGGGTTCTGATGTCAGCCAGTCCCTCTCCTAGGTAGCTCCTGGCCAGTCGCTGTTTTATGTGGAAGGACTGAGCCCTCAGTACTCACTGCCAGCCAGTGCAGCCCTTCATGCCTGCTGCTCCCCTCTACTGCTGTGTCTCTCTGCAAAGGCCTCCAAGGGTTGCCAGCCATCACTGTGTGTCCACTGGTTCGAAGCACTCCACTTGCCCAGTGAGTCTCATCTCAGAGAGAAGGTGCCTCCAGTTACTTCCTTTTTGAAGTTTCTCTCTTCACTCTCCACGGGCTTCATTTCACACTGCAGATTCTTCCTGGGTCCAGGGGAATCCTCTTCCCTCCTTGTCTTGCTATATTCCAGAGTCTTGATGATGACTCTCAGAGAGGCTCTTTCTCTGCTGCTTACCACTCTGCTATGTTGGTCTCCTCCCAATTTGGTTGAATTATAACACAAAGGGTGAGCCAGCCCCTTTAGGCTGTTAAAAGTTAGCATATTTAATATTGCCTCACTTACTGTATGCAAGTTTTTAAAAAAAATGCTGGAGTTACTCAATGTTTGGCCTTTAGAAGAGGATAGTAGGAAAGATTCTGTCCAAATTCAAAGCCAAAGGAAATATCACTCTATAGTAATTAGGACTGGGTCCAGTTATAAGTGACTGAAATTGAAAAGAGCAGTGGCGTGCTCGCTTCGGCAGCACATATACTAAAATTGGAACGATACGGAGAAGATTAGCATGGCCCCTGCGCAAGGATGAAAAGAGCAGTGGCTTGCATAAAATAGGTTTTCTATTTACTGAAATTTTCAAAGAAATGTGTCAGTATCATACCTCCATTCCATGATCTCCCTGGAGATCCAAATCCCTTTCAGTTCACTTCTCCACCTTCATTAGAGTGTGTTTACATATTTTAGGGCTCTGCATCCATCCTGTAATACAGGTAGTACATACAACAGTAGCTTATTTCATAGATGTAGCACATCATATCTTCTCGAGCCGGTGATACAAAGTAGGTCTGATTTCTAGGCAGTAGGATGGGGAAGACACAGAGAAGGAGGTCAAGTAACTGGTTTTCTTTTAAGGGTGATTCCTGGATGATACCATAGAATGCTGTATATCTATCTTGTTAGCTAGAATTGAGTCATACTTCACATCTGAATAAAAGTATCCATGTGTACAGTTAGAGGTTTTTACACTATGGAAGAAGGGAACAGTGAACTTCAAGGGATAGGATTTCAAAGGATTTGTCCAAACTGTTTAGCTTGATGTGCAGTCTAAACTTGAGGCCTTTTTCGGTTACCATGTGAATACTGGCATCAACCAAAAATCTTTTTGCTATTGTAGGTTGGAAGCGATCACATCCTTCTAAATCTTGGAATTATTTTATTATATTGCAGCTATCATATCCTGCCCTCTTATTGCTATCATTTGTCTGCGTATATATAGCTTCCCTAAACAATACGATCTCACCACAGTGTAAGTGGCTAGGAGTAGTGACCATGTCTTACGTGTCTCACTGTTCACCCTAGTACTTGGTAAATAATTGATTTTCAATGAATGTTTGAGTAAACGGATGAACTTTATGATTTCTTGATCTCTTGTAGAACTTTAGGGAAAGAAGATGGACCAACCCAGTGGAAGAAGTTTTATGCAAGTATTATGTGAAAAATACAGTCCTGAAAACTTTCCTTACCGCCGTGGCCCTGGGATGGGAGTCCATGTCCCAGCCACACCTCAGGGCTCTCCTATGAAAGGTGAGATGAGACCTAAAATGTTTATTTACTGGAATGTATTTAGAAGGTTATGCATATCGTAATATAGTCTCATTTGCAGATGACTTCCTTGCAATTATGAGTCCAATCATTTCTTGTTTTGGACTTCAGGGATTTTTTTGTGTTTGTTTTTGTTTTTGTTTTGAGTCAGGGTCTCACTTTGTAGCAGTCTGGTTTTGAATTCACGGTGATCCTCCTACTTCAGTCTCCCAAGTGTTGAGATTATAGGCGTGCATGCTACCACACCCAGCTGGCTTTCAGTTATTATAAATGTGTTTTAGTTGCAAGAATAATATTTGAGTGAGACAATATTTTAAATGCATAGTGTTTTAAAAAATGGGAGAATAGAAAACAGTCCATGGCTGGCCTGTGTCTCAAAGACCTTAACAGTCTGATTATCTTACAAAACATTTATGTTTACAAAGATACAACAAAAGGTGGTTTACATTGAGCCAAATGAATGCCACAGTAATTAGGAAAGAAATTTAAATATTTAATATGATTAGGAAAGGTATTCAAAGATGTCCTTCAGGAATGTAGAATTTAGTTAGAGAAGAGATACAGACATTTTAGGACAGAGATCAGATATGAGCAAAGCTCTATGATTAGAAATGTACAAGGTGAGTTTTTGCCTTTTAGCATAATGTTTAAAAGACCTCGGACTTGGCTTTTGTAGTTAAGGAATTAATGGTGAATCATAGTTGTTGTTTCTGTCCGAGGTCACTCAGTATTTATTATTTCACAGTACAGTTGTTTTTTCACTTCATGTAACCTGCAATGACAGAGAAGGAAACACCTTGGTAATGGTTTTTCAGGATTCATTCCTATTCTGAAAAACTTGATACTGAGAGATATTAAGTTGAAAAATCATATAGTTTGATGCCTCTACTTAATAAAATATGACCTTCATGATTCCTTGTTTTATACTAAGTGGAAAGGGTGGGTAAATATCTATGGTTATCCGTTTTAGGAAAGATATTGACAGTGATTTTACGGACGCATGTATTTTTGAACTAGGTAATAGAGTTATGACATCTGTTTGGCTGAATTCATTGTGTATTTCAGATACTGAAACACTTTCTTATTATAATTATGTTTTAAAAGAAGGCTAATTTTCATAAAAGACAAATTCTACATGGATATCAAATGGGGATAACAGATGGACAAGTATGAAAGAAATGAATGCACAATTTTAGGTGAATAGAAGATCTCAGGAATATGAACTTAACAGAAATGGCTTAACAGATAATTATTGATTTGAGATAATTTTCATAGTCAGCAGAGATGTAGATACACTTCAGACAGAGAAGAGCTATCCATGAAATTTTTGAACTGAATTGAATGAGGGCTACTTGGACATGATGGTGACCTGGACCTGAGTTTCATGTGGGTAGTGTTCCCGTGACGCTATGGCAGGTGATGCCTCTGTGGTTGGTAATTGAGAGAGAGAGAGAGAGAGTGCTGCTGGGAGGGAAAACGCAGTGGTTCTGAGCTCCTCCTACCAATTGGCCGTTTCCCCTTAGAATTAAGAACTCTTGGATCCTGTTATGTTCTTCATTTTCTAGGTCCTTGTGCAATTTCACACTGTTTGATTTTTGTTTCTCGACAATTTCTGTAGTCTAACTGGGTTAGTCACAAATTAGGCTGATATAACAGCGTTTTGTATCTCCTGTGATTCAGATCGCCTCAACCTCCCAAGTGTACTAGTGCTGAACAGCTGTGGAATTACCTGTGCAGGAGATGAAAGAGAAATTGCTGCCTTTTGCGCTCATGTGTCGGAATTAGATCTTTCTGACAACAAACTCGAAGACTGGCATGAGGTAAAGACAGAAATAATCACTCTGTTATTATTTATGTTATTACATTCTGCTGAATTTAGGTTCTAATGTGAGATTCTTGTTGTCTGCAACTCTCAAGATAAATGACGGTATTACCTGCCTGTGCTGATTGTTCCAGCAGTTTTGCTGGTACCAACTTGCTTTTCATCATTTTGAAAAGAACTGAGGAACTTTCCAGGCATCTAGGGGTGAATGCGTCTGTAAGGTTTAGACTACTACCAGGGCATCAAATTCTCTGCTGCTTCACTAGCTTATTCATCCTATGCGCATTTTTCCACTTCTGCTTCAGTGTTTATTACTATAAATTGACATACAGTTACTAGAGCTTGAAATCAAGATTATGAAAAATGTATTCTTATTAGTGAAATTTATCCCAAGTATACCAGAACTTTTCTTATGTTATCAAGTCCTGATGGTTCAATATAACTGATGTCTTTTGACCTCACAGTAACTGTAAGTACACAAATAAGAGCATTATAACATTCTCTCTTGTTATTATAAGTAACATTACATATCTCATTATGACTTTACCTGACAGAAGCTAGCAGGAAGAATAAAGGACAGTTTATTTTGCTTGGTTCATTCTTTTGCTTTAATTTAGCTTTTACTTTGTTGTTTTTACTTCATCTCCTGGATGCAATTCCCCTTCCTGGGTCTTTATCTTGCACAGTGCCGCCACAGATTCCTTTTCATACACAAGCCATACTTTGTCATTCTTATATTAAGTCTTTTAAAAGCTTTCATTGCATAGAAATGAAGATCTGAATTTGAACTTGGTCTTTCACGATATGGTCATGTGGCCCTTTGTGATTTCTGGAACCTTCGTTTTGTTTCGAGACAGGGTCTCACTCTGGTTTAGGCTGACCTTGAACTCAGTAGCCCAGGCTGGCACTGAACTTGAAGTGACTCTTACCTCAGCCTCCTAAGGGCTGGGGTTCCGGGCACGCGGCCCACACCTGGCCGTGTGTGGAACTTTGTTTACCTCTTTAGCCATTTACTCTTCCTTGCAGCCCATAATAAACTCAGTATATGCAAAGCTTTTGTTCATGCTGAACCCAGTGCTCTTTTTTATCTTCTCTCTACGTGGCCACTTTTTGTTTATCCTTCCACACTTGGCCCCAGTTGCTGTTTCTGTGAAATCTTCCCTGGCTCTGCTTCAGGCGCTCAGATCGCCCTGGAGCCCGGTATCACTGCTGTGACAGGATTTATCACAGTACTGTAGTCACTTGCTTACTTGACAGTTTTCCTATTAGACCAAGAGGTTATTTGGGGTGGAGATTTTTGTCTTCTTAAATTTGTCAGTGCCTAACATAGTAGGAAGTCAGATGTTTATTGAACGTGTTAATAAATAAATGATTGTATCTGAAGGATTAATCAAGATCACTTGCTCCAACTTTTCCTGTGATCTTAAGAAATTTGCCTAGTACTACAGTGCTTCAGCTTGTTCATCCATAAGACATGTTTGTTGATTAACATTCATCATTGAAGTTTGTAGATATTGAATGTTACACAAATCCTAAGATAGCTTTCTTGGTTAAGAAAAATCTGTCCCTCTCCTAATTTGTTCATTTTTTATGTTTGTCTATTTAATAGGCTTATTTTGCCCCATAACTATTCTATTTCCTGTCTTCATTAGGATGGTTATCAAAATTCTTGGACAAGTGGTTCATCTAATTTCTAAGTGATACACAGATTTACAAGGCTGTTCCAAGAAATAATCTCTATTTATACATTTATTGATCTAAATTAGTATAACTTACTGTTTGACAAGTTATGGTCTGTACTTTGTTAGTCTTTTGAGACACATCATCGCCATGCATATTCCATCCATACTGCACAAATGCAAAAAGAACCCTTGTTAGCCTTCCTCCTCCTGTGTAATTCTCCTGAGTCCTCCTGCTGAAGGTCTAGTGAGAGTTGTGGTCTGGATTGGTGACAAATCAGACCAGTTCTTCCCGTTAGTCAGTTTAGCTGTCACGATCATGTGCTGAATCCTCTAAATTTGTTTCCTTGGGAGTGTAAAATTTCACAAGGACTCTGAGCTTTTGTATTGACCTGTACTTTGACTATGTACGCGAGCTTTTGCTAACTGGTGGGAGCAGTTTAATGATGTAGAAAGCTGTGGGGAGTGTGGGTCATTACACAGTGCTTACACTATGTCATTCAGCCTCTTCTCTGCTTAGACAAAGGTCTGTGTTAATATTTCTCAGACTGCGTTGACATATAGCCTGAAAGTGACATGTTTATTTATGCTCTATCTGCATTCAGTTAGGTGCTCAGTAGTCTGTTTTCAGGTGAACATTTGTTGCTGTGAATTTTAAGTTAACTTTTTTCTGTTTATTTATTTATTACCTTTTCAGTACTGGGGACTGAACCCCATACTTTTGCACTGAGCTAGTTCCTCAGTTCTTCTTACTTTTGTTTTGGGCAGGGTCCTGGTAGGTTGCTGAGGTTAGCCTTGAACTTGTGACCCTGTTGCCTGAGCCTCTGAACAGCTGGCAGTGTAGGCATGTGTCAGCGTGCCTGGCTCTGGTTTATTTTGTTTTCATCATTCCTTTATATTTACTCCTTATCCATCACTACAGTTAACCCCAGTATTTTAGAGTACATATCAGAGAACAAAGATAAAATACTGAAGGAATATTGATTTTTTGCTTTGATAAGCTCTTTGCCGGGCTACAAAAGCTTTGTATGTTTAACTGGTTTTAAGACATTACATTTCAGCCTCATTACAATGCCTGTGTCTGATTACCAAAAATATTTGTCCCTAACTTAACTAGGTTCACTTTAGCCAGTGGCAATATAACAAATGTGGAATGATCTTATAGGTTCATTCAGTTTTCTCTGTTGTCACTAATGTTATGAATAATGTAAACTATTGGTTGCTGTATATTTAAAGTATGAGCGAGGATATCTAAAGTATATCTAAAGTATACTTTTATACTTGTATATCTAAAGTAGTACTTTTTTGGGGGGTGATGGGATGGAGATTTACCTCTGCCCTACTAAATTTAGGCACTGATGTATTAATAAAACACATTTTTTAAGCTATTGACTTAACATTTCTGCTGAGTAAAATTTTGTCAGGCCTTTCCCAAGATCCCTCCTTTTTTTCTCTTTTCCTTATCAAAACCATTTTATAAAAGAAATTAAATCAAGCAGTTCAGAGGAGGGAGGAATTAGCCAGTTGGGTGAGGGAGAGAATAGCTTGGGTATAAATTACAGATTGTTATCTTAAAACGCTTTCCCCATGTTCCTTAAATCTTTAGTTTCTTCTCTTTTAGAAGCCAGTGTGGAGGATCCCCTATTAAATCACGAGACTGGAGGCCTGAGGGTGATCCAAGTTCATCTCCATGCTTCTGTACATGAGCAAACTCAACTCAGTCCAGCTGGAGGAGTGTTGTTGTTTTTGTTTGTTGGAATTTAAGAAAGGAAAGTCGATCTAAAGCCCTAGAAATTCAATGGGATATTCGTTAGTCTTTGCCATTGGGAAGTTTTCCATAACTAAATTTTTCTGTGTAATATTGTACTATCTAAATCTTACCAATTTGAGTTTACATAAAAACTTTTGTCTCTGCCTTTTAAAAAGACAGTATTTATCTGTTTCTAACATATATTAATTTCCTGCTTTAGTTATGAGACTCTAGTACAATTTTATATTTTTAGAATACACAGGCAATTGATATAAATGTGTATTCCCACTGAACAGTAGTGTAAATGTGGGCTCTGACAATTGCATTATATATTTGTTAGCCTTGGAAAATCTCCCAGAAATTACCCATTTTTTAATATCTTCCTCCTTATTTTAAAAAGAACACATAGGAAGAAAGCATTGTTGGACTTACATTTTGTTTCTCTTTAACTGGGTTTTACCAACATTAGCAGTTAGTCTTCATGTCATTGATAAAGCAAAATTGCACTTTTTTTTTCCTGCTTAAAAGATGTAAGATGTAGCTGGTCACCATCTTCTATATGGAGGTCCTTTGTGCCATTAGTATTCAGGTCATAGAATCCAGGACAAACTTGTTCCTTGCATAAACTGGGTGGCTGTGTTGTAATCACAGACTAAACTCCAGATTCTAGCCGTATATTGCCTAAATGTTTGGTACCCTTTGATCACCAACAGGATCAAGCAGAAGGACATGTGCAGACTGATACAAATTCCCCGTACTTTAAACAGAAGTCTTCTGTATTTTCTCTAAAAGGTTGCTCATTTCTTCATTTCCAAAATAAGCATAAAAGTGATACTGACTTCAAAGGGTTGGTGTGGGGTATAGATGAAATAGTGAATGTGAAGAATTTCCCCTCTCATCCTTCTCTGAACCTTACTGGCATTAATCTACTATGATTTTAGAGCTCTTGAGCTGAATATAAACAAAGACCCAATGTAAAGTAGTTACTTTTTCTTTCTATCCGTGATTTCCCCCCTCTCCTTTTATGTATTTTTTTCTCAGAACTTTTGAAAGAAACTAATTGCCAGGTCCTAACCCTGAAACTTGTCCTGCACGTGAAACTCCTGACTGAATAGTTTATGGTAGAACCTGGGAATCAGTATATTTTGATGGCTAGGAAGAGTTGAGCTACTGGATCATAGTATTCTTCTTATATTAGCAGTAGTTATATTTATTGAGTAAACTACATTTATTCAAAATGCAGCAGTTACATTGTTGAATAAACTATATAATTCAGTAAATGCGAAGCACTCCATTGTCCCTGCTCCCACATTTACGTGCAATTAGTGGATAATTAAGAAAACAGGTTTCAAGAAGAGATGCCAGTTGCTGTGCTGAGTCATCACATGTGTAGTTCATTAAATCCGACAGCCATGTCACGTAGACAGGTACTATGTTCCTTGTTTTGGGAAACTAATTTATCTGAAACTACACAGCTAGGAAGTGTTGGAAACTGGCTTGAACCCAGATTTTCCATCTCTGCAACTAATCCCAACTACCCTTTTCTACTCCATTTTTCATAATTTACTTACACATTGTCTGGATGCTTGATGCTTAGTGTGTTTACTGAGGGCTTAGTATTTATGTCCTACTAGTTTAAGCCTGTGCTTCTCCCTTACTGTGTCAGCTGCTCTTCTATTTTCTGATTGTAGCTATGATGACCAGTCTATGGAAAGAACAGTGACTCTGATTTTGGAATTTCAAATTCCAAATTTATGACTCTTGAGATGTTAGTCAAATTGTTTAACATCTTTGAGCCTCAGTTTCTACACTTATAAGAGCAAAAGAGAGATCTTGCAAATTGTTTTGAGAATGTAATGAACAATTTATATAAAAACACTAATACTAGGCAAGTAAATAGTTAAGTTCAATATTTTCCTTTTTACTGTCTACCAGTTTGCTAACTAAATCGTTAAGTTGATGATTGTTTTTTCCCTTTTGTTACATAGTTTTGGATATTTTTTAAAAATATATTTTAAAGTATGATACGCATCTTCAAACCAAACAGTTTTGACTGAGAAATGTACAGTCAGTTTTGAACATGTGAATTGTTAGTGGGTGATTTTAGAGAAGCCTTTAATTAGCCTTAATGTTCTAACAATGAGGAGAAGATACTCAGAGAGAATTACATGACCCAGTCTCAGCTCTTTAAAAATTTACAGTCTGGAATATCATCTAAATTACCTTTTTATCTTTGTTTATCACAGAAACTGTCACATAGAGAACAGAAACTTTGCTAATAATGACATAGGAGATCTGTTCTGTACCATTACTTGTCAGATGTGCTACTATTTCATAGAAAGAGATTAAGTTATTTGCCAAGAGCTGTTGGAATCACTTATGCTGCTCTGTGAGCAGCATCACTAAGTAGGACTCCCTGAGGTAAACGGGCCTGTGCCTGGGGACCCACTCACTTAGGCCTTCTTGAGCGTGATTGCTGTGTAAAAGCTCTGATTACTGCCTGATACGCTTCTCCTTTCTTTTTTTTTCTTTAGGTCAGTAAAATTGTGTCAAATGTTCCCCAGTTGGAGTTTCTAAACCTGAGTTCCAACCCTCTGAATTTGTCAGTTTTAGAAAGAACTTGTGCTGGGTCCTTCTCTGGGGTTCGCAAACTCGTCCTCAACAACAGCAAAGCTTCCTGGGAGACAGTACACACAATTCTGCAGGAGTTACCAGAGTAAGCCTGAGCGCATGGTGGAGAGGGAGCTGTGCTGCCGTCTCTGTTAGTACATAGAACTGCTGCTGATCTCCCATCTCAGAAATCCTAGACCTGCAGCCAGAATGGAGAAAGAGGCTAGAAAAATGAAGTAATTAGCATGAGGGTGTGAGGGAAACCTGGTAGCATTTCCAGTGGAATACTTACTCAGTGTTGAGTAGCTCCGAGACACGAGATATGTCATCCTTTGGCTAGAAAATACCCCTGAGAAGCACTTACCGCTTCTAGATCAGCTCAGCCTTTCTCCATTCTAATCTTCTGATTACCCGATTTAAGAATTTTGCTTCGACCCTTTTCTTTGGGAGGAAAAAAAATTAATAGTATCTCTAGAACATCTTAGCATTTAGATGATTAAATACCTAGCTGGCCTGATGGGAAAATGGACCTCTGGTATTCTTTTCAGCAATTTAAGAAGCAAATCATGCTTTTGTCTGTCAGTTTAGAAATGCCTTTTTAAAAAATGTTGTTTGTGTCTTTGTTTATGCACAAAGGATGCAAAGAACTTTAACAAAATATACGAGAGAAACTACAGGTGTGGGGAGTTTCTAAAAAATTGTTTTCCATACTGAGGATTGAACCTAGGGCCTTTGCACTGAGCTAATCCTCAACCTTTTCTAATTAATTAATTAATTAAATATTTTTGGTACTGGGGATTGAACTAATGACACTGCATTTGCCAAGCAGGCGCTTATGCCGCTGAGCTATACCCTCGACCCTTTATTACTTTCTTAAAGACAAAGTCTCACTAAATTGCCCTGCGAGGCTTGAACTTGCAGTCTTCCTGCCTTAGCCTACATAGTGCGGGGGTTTACAGGTATATGCCACCTCACCTAGCCATGAAGTTGTAGCTTCTTTAACTATCTAAATATGGAAATTACCAAAGCCCTTCAGAATTTCGTCTCACAGGGTTTATTACATCTTACTGTTGGACTGTGTGGAATTGGTTTCTTACCACATGCAGCTTCCATGGTGCTGAATGAGCTCGTAAATCCCAGTTCCGTTTATTAACCATATGACCTTTGATAAACTGCTTACACTCTGTGGGCTCAGCTTCCTTGTCAGTAAAGTGACAATAATAGTATTTACCTTACAGAAATAGCAGTGAAATCTGTAATCCTTCAGGCACAGGGAAGGAATTTAGTAGTTATTATTTCTATTCCTAAACATTTTTTCATGTTGTTTCTCCAATTTTCTTGTCTTTCCCATCAACTTACCCAAGTCCAGCCCTCCTTCAAAGCCATTCATCTTTTCTGATTATCCCAACTATAATTTCAAGTTTATTCCTATATGAACTATAATTATGCTTATAGTTATGTTTCATTTAGCATGTTTTTTAAACCCCAAATCAATCCAGTTATATTTGTTATTTTGCATGTTGGAGGTTTTGTCTTCCCAGTTGTACAGTATTTTGAGATTCGGGAAGACGTCTTTATATTTTCTCTATGATACCTACCAATCTCACATATAGCATGCATTCTTTATTTATTGAATGAATAAAAATAAGTATTAGTACAAACTATAAACTTCTTTAGAGAATGAAATATTTCCCCTTTTTCTTTGCAGTTTGGAGGAGCTCTTTCTGTGCCTTAATGACTATGAAACAGTGTCTTGTTCATCTATTTGCTGTCATTCTCTTAAGCTCCTACATATAACGGACAATAACCTCCAAGACTGGACTGAGATACGGAAGTTAGGAGTTATGTTTCCTTCACTGGATACCCTCGTCCTGGCCAACAATCATTTGAATGCTATTGAGGAGCCTGATGATTCATTGGCCAGGTTGTTTCCTAATCTGCGATCCATCAGCCTCCACAAATCAGGTGAGGCACAGGCTTTTTCATGCTGTATGCATAGATTTGAGCTTATGCATGAAATACGATGAAAATGTATTTATTTCAGTCATACTTCTACATTTTTATACGACAGATTTTCCACATGACATGCCAGTGCCTACTGACTGACTACATTTAAGGCATTCATATTCATAAAAGCTCTAATAAATATTGTGACATAGCATTGTATTAGCACCTTATATTTTATACATTAAAGAGTTCATGCTATGGAAGGAGTGAAGTTGATGAATTAGATAATAAAAAGGCAGGGTAAAAAGAATTAAAACTGTAGACTGCTTTTTCTGTGTTTGGGGTAAGGCATCCCAACTTGCTATCTCTTTTCAAATGTTCACCTTCCTAGTATCTATAGTTCATTGTCTGTTGGTTGCCATCTGTTTGTGTCACAGGAATGAATATATTCAGCCTGTTTCTTTTGCTTTTAATTAATAAACTTTTTGTTTTAGATCAATTCAAAGTTCATAGCAAATGGACCAGGGTATTTAGAGAGCTCTCATGCATTGACCTCCCCCACTATAAACATCCCACACCAAAGTAGTAAGTTCGTAGTGTTTTAATTTGTAAACTTACGGTGACGCACTTATAATTTACATTAGGATTCGTTATAGGTGTTTTTCATTCTTTGGGTTTTAACAAATATGTCATAACATGTACCCGCCATTGTTGTACTGTGCAGGATAATTTCACTGCCCTAAAAGAAGCATCTCCTTTGTTCCATTTATTTACCCCCCAGGTCCTGACAACCACTGATCTTTTTGATAGTTTTGCTCTTTATAGAATGTCATGCATTTGGAGTCATACAATCTGTAGCCTTTTGAGATTGGCTTTTGTCTTTTTTCTTTGCTGAGATGAAATACCTGACACCTACATGTTCAAGGCAGAAAAGTTTATATTTGGTTTACAGTTTGTAGAAGTTTCAGTCTGTAGTTGTGTGACTCCAGGGCAGGATAGCACAGTAGAGGGGCATCACAGAGGAGAGAAACAGTCCATGGCAGAGCAGTTGGGAGGCAGCAGCAGTAAGAAGGAGGCCTCCCTTTCCCTCTTATCCCATCCAGGCTAAGACTTTGGGTGGTACCACCCGTGCTGAGGGTGGGCCTTCCCATTATCCATACCCAGAACTGTGATAAACCAGTGAGTTGACTAATCTAGTAACAGACCCATAATCCCAGTGTCACACACCCTAGATCCAGCCACCTCCTAGAAGCCCCACCTGTGAACTCTTGAGGCTTTGGGGAACACATGAGATACAAGCTGTAACAACTGCTTTCATTTACTAAGACGCGTTTATATCCTCCATTCCTTTTCATGGCTTGCTAGCGCATTTCTTTTCAGCACTAAACAATATACTTCTTGCCAGATATGCCTCAGTTTGTTTATCTATCACCTGCTGAAGGACTTCTTGTTGCTTCTAAGTTTTGGCAGTTGTAAGTTCCTTTAAATATCTGGGTGTAGGTCTCCGTGTGGACATAAGTTTTCAGTTCCTTTGGGTAAGCTGTAAGGGTGTGGTTGTGGAGCATAGACTATGCGTATGTTTAGTTTGGTAAGAGACTGCCAAGCTGTCTTACCACTTTTATTCCTACCAGTTGTGAGCAAGAGTTCCTGTGCATCCTACCAGCATTTGGTACTGCCAGCGTTTGGGATTCTGACTTTTCTACAGGCGTGTCACAGTATTCAAATTCCCTCATCACTAGAGTGTTGAACATCATTTTGTGTGCTTACTTGCCGGCTGCCTATCTTCTGTGATGAGTGCAGTGTCCATTTACGTGTTTTGTGTATTTTTAGTCAGGTTGTCTTTTTTCAGTAGTGAGTTTTAGGAATTCTTTTTCTATTTTCCCTACGAGTCTTTCATCAGGGTACATTTTACAGAAACATTTTCCCAATCCCAATTCTTGAGACATTGTCATTCATCCTGTTTCTTGGAACAACTGCATGATTGAAAATGTCTCAAACCTACAGCCAAAGAAAACATAAACTTAGTATATTTCACCACAGCTATTATGAATGAGAAAGTTTCAAATGCCAGAATTTTGTGTAAGGAAGCTGTTTATTTCACAATTTGACACCCACTGATTGAACTCTGTTCTTCCTTCCAGATGGAAATGCATTGTAAGGAAGAGCACAGTTGTGATTTGGAAGAGATTGTACCAGAGTCCTCGTAGATTGTTCCTCTGTCTTTAGCTTTGTGGAAGTTTTGTAGCATTAGGAGGAAGGGAGTATGTTATACAACATGGATTTCCTGTGCTGTAAAACTGACCAGCTTCACAATTATAGGAATATTTTTCCTGCTTGCAAGTGCTACCTGACTTGCAAGTCAAATATTGACTCAGATAATACATTTGCTCATTATCATAAGGACAGTTTAATTTTATAACTAAAAGTCTTAATTTGTTGTGTGTTCTTCCTAACAGGTTCAAGGCTCTTGTTAACAATGATTTTAGATCCATTGTCCATGTCATAAAATGTAAACAGTATGAAAATAATGATATGTAGTTTCTGATTGTGTGTTCCATATCCCATTTTAGAATGTCAGGTAAAATTTGAGTATGACAGCATCAGCTCTGATCCATAGTTACGTTCCGTGAATCTGTAAAATAAAATGAGTTGGCAGACCACTTTCTAAAAACATTGTGTAATTGTGACATGCCTATTGAAACCACCTGTGGTCCCTGTTACGGATCATTTTGGCAGACTCAAGAGATGAGAGGATGCGAGAGAACAAGGCTGTGTCTTCGTGACCACTGAGCTCACAGAGACAGGGAAGCTCTGGCAAAATGTTTATGGTGCATGTTTCAGTTTTTCTTTGGAGAGGGAAAAATTTTAGGCACTCTAATTTATGATTATGTTTACATTTCCAGACTTAACTGGAATAATTTCTTTTTATTTGTGCACTTTTCTGTATTAACGTAAACAGTATCTTTCTCAAATTAGGTTTGCAGTCCTGGGAAGACATTGACAAGCTAAATTCATTCCCCAAACTTGAAGAAGTGAGGTTGTTAGGAATTCCTCTTCTGCAGCCCTATACCACTGAGGAGCGCAGGAAACTGGTGATAGCCAGGTCTGGTGTCCTAATTTCTTCTGTTTTCTTTCCATAGGGCCTTATTGTTTCCTTAAAGGAGCGATGTACTGTCCTGGGTGGTGGGCCCTATGAATTCATCCAGATCTTGAACAAGACCCTGATTAAAGGAGTTGCTTCTGTAGCTTCTAGTCCTGGATAAAAATGAGTACAGTGAGGAAAATATAATACCTGGTTGTCCTGCCAGTGTCACGGAAATAGTCCCTCACAAATCTATTCTATTTTCATGGTTTTCGGTACAAAGATTTATGACGGACTGTCTTGGGTCACATGGTAAAAGACCAGAGAATCATTCTGGTTGTAGTTTTCCTTATTTCCTCCATTAATGTAGTGCTCGTTTAAGGGGCAAATATATGGAAATCGGGCTGTTTGGCAGCCTCTGTATTTTCTCCTTAAATGTATAGTGACTTAACTGTGACTGGCCTTTTTAGTATCTTCTTTGTCTGACGCCCCTGCCTTTTGTGTCTCAGACACTGTTTCCACAGACCAGTAGAATTTCTTTCCGGAGTTAATTTTGTAGCAGAAATGAGATTTTGGCTAAAGTGCAAAGAGCCATAGAGCGTTGCTTTGTTCTCTTTGTGCACTAAACATAGTCGTTTTGAAAGAGACACAGTAGGCTTTCAGGTTCTTTAAAGAAGAATGCTGCTTTAAACATAGTTTTGATCTTTCTGACCAAATAATTCCTGAAAGATTCTTACCACTTTGCAGTTGTTATCATCTGTGTTAGTAGCTCAGTGAAATACCTCAGTATCAAGTCTTAAGGAGACTTGAGTTTAGAGAAGGCCTTTTACACTACTGTGTTCACACCATCCTTTTGTAACTATGATGAATTGATTCCTGAATTATATAATAATAATATACTGAGAGCTCACCAGGCATGCGCTGTTGTATATGGTAGCTGCTAGCCATGTGTGACTCTGAACACCTGAAATACGTCTTGTCTGTATTGAACTGTGTTAGAGAAACATAGACACTGGACTTCAAATACTTTGTACGAATAAAAGAATAGAAAATAGCTTTATAGTTACTTTTGAATATTGACCACTATACATGTCAAAATAATTACATCCTGGATATACTGGATTAAATAAAATATATTGTTAAAATCAATTTCATCTCTTATTTTTTTCTTTTTTAAAAAAATGTAGTTAGTAGAGAATTTAAAATTGCATTTGTCGTTTACATTAATTTAAGTCAGATGGTGCTACGTAGAATCTAATTTTGAAAGATGAGGTCTGATTATGAAAGGTCAGTGTCACATTCAAAAATGAAACTAGAGTTCTTTTCTCTTTTGTATAACTTCAGTCCATGTCTGTATTCATGCACAGGCAAAACTACATCAAATGTTCTTTCAAAGAAATAAGACTGGGCCTCAGTTGAATTACTTTATCTCTAAACTTAAATATTTTTAGCATCTTTGAAAGGTCTTTATTTTTGTTTTAACTTACAGATTGCCCTCAGTTTCTAAACTTAACGGCAGTGTGGTCACCGATGGTGAGCGAGAAGATTCTGAGCGATTTTTTATTCGTTACTATGTGGATGTTCCAAAGGAAGAAGTACCATTCAGGTAAAAGTTTCTCATCCACTTAGCAAAGCACCGTGGTGCTGAGACGACTTTAAAACTGTTGTTTAGGTCAAAATCTAACGTTTATTTATTGGGTCATTCTTAGAGGACTTTGATAATTTTTTTAAACAAGGAAACATAAAAGCAGACCTATTGTATCTCATTTTCTCTTCTTATCTCGCACTTACATTAAGAATGATTATTTCACCAGTTCAGTAGTTTCTACTCTGTACTTCTTGTCATCAACTTTTTTTTTAAATTCTCTTCTCTAGTGGCATATTTTTACTGACCCTCAAAAATTGGTCTCATGTATTTTGCCTTTGCTTTCAGGATAATTTCAACACTTTGGAAGACTTGGAAGATGTTCAGTAGGTTCAGAATAGAGAAAACAATTAGAAAATAGACTTTCTAGAAATATTAAAAAATTAGGGTGGTTGAGTGTGAAATGCTGAGGCTATTAGTAAATACTATTAAATGCATTAACTATTGTTTAGTGAGCTGCTTTTTTATTTTAAAGAGAATGAAACAACAAATCAGAACAAAGCAGATCAGAATAAAACAAGGAAAGCAACATAGGATTTCAAAACAAGACAACAGGAAATCAACAGTGGCTCATTTTCTTCAAAATACTTGTCCATATCGTCACACACAAAAACAAACCAAAATAATATGAAACTGATTAAAGCAAAAGAATGAAAGCATTGTAGGCCCTCAAAACCAGACAATAGGAATATCAACAGTGGCTACCATAATGTCTCTTGTTCTCTTCAAAATAGCTGTCCATAGCTTCACAATACTGAAATCAAATAACAGTAAATACTCTAAAACCAATCAAAATAAAGAATAAAAGCATTACTGGACTTCAAATCAAGATGTTAGAAAAGCAACAATGGCTACCATAAGGTCTTGTTTTCTTCAAAGTAGCTGTTCATACCATCACACGTAATAAAATCTATTCTTGTAAACTCTTTAGGAGACGTTCTAGGCATGTATAAACCTATACATGTACATCTATCCCTTCTGTATTAGGTGAAAAACAAAACAAAACAAAATACAAGGGAAACAAGAAAGAAAAGAAACAAAATAAGGAACTGCCTTTAAACTGTGCAGGAAAGAGGAGAAGTAGCAGGTGTCATATAATCAGAACAGATTCCCAAGGGTTGGTAACCAAGTGGCTGCTGGGGGAGCTGCAAACTTTCCTCCTCAGTGACTTTAAGAGCCCCCTACTGTGGGTCCCTGCTTAGCCGGCAGAATTTCAGACAGCTGGAAGGGCAGTTAGGGCTGACTGTGAGTCACTGCGCCTGGCCTGCTGGTTGCCAGTATCTGTGATTCTGGTTCTTTCTTATTAAATGCATGCACCCCTGGAGACTTTAAGGGGGTTCACATTCTGTAAGTCTTAGTGAATGCTATATAAAAAATGTCTTGTAGTGTCAGTAGTATTTGGAAGCCTAAGCATTTAAAAATATCACATAAAGTCTTTTGAGATAACTTAAAAATTAGCAGAGCAACCAAGTATTAGATATGAAAGTAATAGATATGTATTAGATTAAACTGTGTCTTTTAAAGTAACAGATATATTGTTAGGTTAAACTGTGAAAAGGATTTTTAGATAACAAATGACCCAATATCTGCAGTTTCATATGATTCAATCTAACCTATTAAAGGCAGAAGTAAATAATTTTGGCTTTGAGCGTAAGTCTACCATCATAATTTTTTAACTTCCAGTCTCCTATAAGAAGATACATGTAGAGACTTTCCTGCCCCCCCCCATGTAATTCTCATGAAGTATATTTAAGCCTTTGTACTAGTTGGTGTTCTTGAATGGTAGCCACAGAAAGCACCTGTGATTAAATTTAATCAGGGAAGAAATGTGTTGGAAGGACACTGGAAATTAAAGGTGTTGTTGGGCAGAGGAAGAACCAGGGATGGGCCAGAGCGGAGGGCACAAGGACAGCAGGAGTTTTCACTCTACTCAGCTTCATGTGCCGCTGCTGGCACTGCCCTATCTAGGCACTGCAGCGCCAGCCTTTAGCTCTGGACACTTGAAGCTGTGTATTGAATATGTTATTTCCCTGCGAGTGCTGAAAACAGTCTATCACTGACCTTTTTTCTATTTGAAAATATTTCATACTGTAAGGCTGATGCTATTATATAAGTAAGTAGTGAACTAAGTTCCTACTTTCATGATGCTCAATTTGAATGAGCTCTCATTGGCCTTTCCCTCATTTCCCAGGAATCAGAAATCTATTGGGAATCAAGTGATTGGCTTTGTTGAGGGCATCATGAGGGACAACCATAGGGGAAAAGGGTCACTTGTTCCTCTCTTGGCTTCCGGAGCCAGAGGAAGAGTACAGTTTCCTTTGATATTGGTACTTTTCCCCAAATAGGACCAAATCAGCAAAAATAATATGTAATTGTAGTCTGCCTCTCAGACATCCCAATTTCTGTGTATCTTTTCTCTATAGTTATATAAAAATTTATTCTTAGCTGCCTTAATGTATTCACTATATAGCTAAAAATCACATTTCTTTCCAGTAAAATAAGATAACACTGGCTTTATAAATGCTGTATCTATCCATTTCTCCTCTCATTCTTTATCTTGGAACCTACTGATTTATTTACAAAGTTAACCATCCTACTGTATCCTTTATAAAATAATGGGAAAATTAGGGAAAGGGAGTTAATTAAAATTTATAAACATTTATACAAAATGGCAAAAAGCAAAATATAAACATATATAAGTGTGAATTGATACTTTCATGTTTCAATATTGAAGCTGAATACATAAATTGTGTTGATGACTTTCCTCTTCCATTATCTGCCCGTTTTGTTTAGGCGCAGTTAAGATTACCTTGAAGTAACTTAGGTGGACAAAGATTTTTGTTTTGTTTTGTTATTTTTGCTTTTGGTTTTAACCTGTTTAGGATAAAAGGTGAATTTCAGTCGTGTGTATGTATGTGTGTTAGGATTTCAACCCTTGGTAATTTTGCTGTATGTGGTTTCAGCAATTCTGGATTATCGATTACCAGGAGGTCCCAGGAGCTACTACAGTGATAGTCTGGTTCCCTCTTTACTCACATGTCCCTCTGCTGTATTTCCCTTTAACCATCAAGGTTACTTTTCTTGACTGAGACTCTTTTTTGAGAGAGTGGCATGCTTTTGGCATAATGATTTGTAGAATTTAGAATAGGTAGAGACTCAGCACCTGGGTGGAGTAATTGTAGTACCAGTGGAAACATTCCTATCTTGGATGTAAACCTCTACACCTAGCAGTGCTCAGCAATAGGAGAGACCAGTTTTACAGGCTGGTCCTTGGATGCAATCCTGAGGTGTTACTGACAGCATTCTCGCTCCTGACTCATATCAGCCGAAGTGCTGAACTGGGGTGTGGAGTATCAGCATCAAGTCTTCAGTGGTGACCCTGTCTTTGCTCCCTTCAGGCAGACAATGTGACCTTTAGTTCAATGAGAGAATGAGGGTTTATTCTAATCTGAAAGACTCCATGATGCTTTAACTACTGCAGAAGATTCATGCTGTCAGATTATTTTCATCCATGCTGGCGTGCTGCCTGTTCACTTACGCCCACTTTCTCGCCCCCTTGTATGTAAAGGCTACTTGCCTCTTCTTGAAGGCTTCTATTCTTGAAATGAGTAGTGTGATTTCAGTATTTTCTCTCTGTCTCCTATAAAGTATTTCTCAGAGATATGGACCTTCCACTGTACTTGTATTTTCAAGGCATGAAGTAAGAAGTGTCCTCTGGGACCATGTAAGGTTTATGGATAGAGAATGGGTAAAGGTGTAACATAAATTACACAATCGTATGCATCCCATCATTCTTATGTCTTGCAGTTTTTTAATTATTTCTACATTATCCTGAAGAATATGTGACGCTGCACATATTCTTTTAGCATGTCATTATGTCCAAGTCCAATTTCCAATCAATCAATTGAATAAACATTTAGAATCACTCTCAGGTACAAAAGGCAACTTTTGAATTCACAGTCTCAGACAATGATAGTTGTATCAGCCAACAGTTGGAACTAAAATTGCTTTTATTCCTTGGTCTAAACCAGTCAGAACCTGCACCTGTATTTTTTTTAATTAGCTTGCCCATATTTATGAACACAGTTTTATAATTGATGTTACAGTGATCTCCACAGAGTGTGCTATTATCTGATGCCAGAGGAGCAGGTTGGAAGGGTGGAAGCTGAAACAAATGGGAATTAGTTTCCTCTTACAGGGGAATTCCTTCAGGCAAGGGCCATTCCAAAAAACATTTCACTGTTTTCTCAAGCAAGAGAAAGAGGACAAAGTAAGAGGAGCTCCTCAACTAGCCAGGCAGGCTGAGTGAGAATTAGCGATGTAGGGAGTACCTAACTCACAGTCTTCCAAGGCACTGTCCTCCAGTTCTTTTTCTCTGTATTAATCAGTGCGCCCACTTTCAGGTAGTAGTCTCAACGTGGATGCACATTGAACTAACTTGTAATTCATTTTTTTTTTTCACAGTGCCTCATTTCTGTTTTAAAAGAAAAAAAAATAACCTTTCTTATTAACAGTACCTGAATTCCATTTGTACACTGGGACTCATTTATAGGGCCTATGTACTGCTGGAGCAGTAGCCAGGCTTTCCTCTTGTGGCTGTAGGGTCGAGTGCCTGGATCACTGAGCACTTTGAACCTGATTGTGAAGAACAAATTTTCTATGTCGCCATAGAAATGTGGTGTGGCCACTGCCATTCTGGAACATTGTGCTCTGTAGCTTTCTTCTCCAAGCACACTCTTTTGCAAAAGCAAAACTTTTGCAGTTTTGAGACTGCTGTCTCTTGCTGTGATGCCCACAGGCCATCTTTTTTATTTTTTTGTTCCTTCTGAGCAATTAAGATCTCAGCTTTATCTTTACAGATCATAGCTGTCCCGCCAAACTTACAATGTTTTAAATCATCCTGCTGGGCTTTTTGCTCCTGATTTGCAACATAAATCTAGCTAAAAGCCCACAACTATGGT